ACAAGGGCACAAGGGCACAAGGGCACAAGGGCACAGGGCACAAGGGCAAAAGGGCACAGGGCACAAGGGCACAAGGGCACAAGGGCAAAGGGCACAAGGGCACAAGGGCACAAAAAGGGCACAAGGGCACAAGGGCACAGGGCACAAGGGCACAAGGGCACGGGGCACAGGGCACAAGGGCACAAGGGCACAAGGGCACGGGAACAGGAGAGGACCGAAGCCAATCCTCGAGACCCAATGCCCCTGTCTGTACGGACCTTCCGGCAGGTCATCTACCTCCACGGGGATCGGGCCGGGGCCGGCCTCAGCCGTCTTAGAGCCAGGTTTTCGGGTTCAGGGATTTGGAAGGGCTTTAGAAGTGTTCCAGCCAGGCTTGGGGGATTTAGGGGGATTGAAATATGGGTTTGGGGTTCGCGGTCTTGGCTTCACGAAGTGTTACAGGGTCTGTCAATACTGCACAGGAGGTTTATGCACTCTACAGCCGGGAACCTAGGGCAGTTTCGAAAGTTTTGGTCTTTCCACATCTTACTTGGCTGAAGGCTCTGGAGCCTTGGGGCTTTATGGTTCATGGCATCGGAGGATTCAGGTCGGGTCTCAAAAACACATGCAGCTTCAGACTGTCGGGCTTGCTGTTTAGGTGTATCATGCTACGGCTCAAGCAGGACTGGCGGCCTGTAAGAAAGCTCCGCTTGAAGAAACTTGGGCCGGTGCTGCCATGCTCGCCGATTCGCGGATCTTGCGACACTCCTCCTCTTTTTGCTAGATCTGGTCGTCGTCCACGTGCAACGAAGAGCTAGCTGGGGTTTGGTTCTGATCCGTGCTTGTGCCGGATGGCCGAATCATGCTGCGTGCCTTGGAATCTATGAGCCATCTGCTGCAAAACGCACCGAGTCAGTCAAGCTCCACAACAACTTCTCAGAGCTTCATGTGCAAAGTGCAGAGGATGCAGTGGACTTCTGCTGCGCTTTTCTGAGCTGTGATACATCGCCCCTCGGTCGCCGCAGGAGTTTCCACCCTGTCGCTTCGCAAATGGTCGATGGTGTTCCCAGACTCGCGAGCACAGTGACCTCTGGGAAAGTGGCAGTCAAATTGAGAACAGTCAAGCACACATGCTTCCGCCTCGGACTGCGCGTGCACTGGGGCCTCACTGCTGCAGACAGCAGGCTTGGCCCGCAAACGCACTTGAGCAGCACGCTCTGGTATTATGTACAAACGAACCGATCAGCAACCGTTTAAAAATGCTGCTTCGTGCTGAATCATGTCCACTGGCCCACGAATCGAGCATGTTGCAGCGTCAATCGTTAACAGAAGACAGAAGCTGCAGCTGCCAACAACTTGACAAAGCAGGCTTCAGAAAAAGGGCGCTTTACCAGCGGGCAGGCCCGAGGCTAAATGTACGCCTGCTGCGTGTTCTCGCACAGTGAAGGACCCAATCTTGAACCCAAACCTTCACCGGGCATGTCCGTGTTGGCCAAACCTGGCTCCTCGGCTGCTCGGGCATTGGTTCCAGGTAGGTCCTCGCTTGCCTCCGCCGTCTCTGTGGCTCTGCTGGTCGGCGCGTTCTTCGCAGGGGGGCTCTGGGACGGTGTCGGTGGTGCAAAGGAACTGGAGCCTATCCGGAAGCAGTACCTGCAGGAGTCGATCTGCCACAAACATGCATCCCTGTCCATGCCTTTCGGATGCCTCGCGTTCAAAACAACTCACAAGCGTCTATAAAATGAGTTCTTTCAACAATGAGTTCTTTCGCTCCACCTCTTTGCAAATTCGTCGGCATCGGACGGGACGACCTCTGTGCCCAGCAAAGACACCGATGCCAGCAGCAACTTGTTATCGTAGATGCCCATCGCCGACAACGCCTTCACCAGTCCTGCCCGATCCGTTTCTGCAAGCTTTGCCGACATGAACTGCAGAGTTTCTGCGAGGAGGGTGGGCGCCGGCGTCCTCATCAAGATGCAACCGACTGCAAGCTAAAAGCTGATGTACGATACTGGGTCACAACGCCACAGCCGAAGCACAGACAAGCAATTTTCGTTCTGGAGCTCACAAGATAACAGAAATGCAGAGCAGGACTGAAATTGCCCGGAGGAGTCATGATACCAAAAAGCTGCCCAACCTATGGCATGCCGTCACCAACACCTGCCCCCAACTGCACCCTGCTTCAACAGAGGCCTTGCCGCATGACCTCGCCCAAACCATTGAAAGTGCAAACATCACACCTGTCCTACATGTACTCTTTTGGTGAGCGACTTACCTGGCAAGTGTTGGGTTGGAGATCTCATGCATGTGCGGCGACGAGCTGCAGCCGTTTCCTAAGAAGTGGCAAATTGCTGCATGGTCGCAGAGCCCAAGAGCTCCAAGCGTGTTTGGGTGCATCTGTGGGGATTTGTTTCCGGCACCTGGATCCACAGTTCTTGTCGTGTTCTGGCCAAGCTTTGTCTGCGACTGATCGCCTGCATCTTGAGCCATGGCCATAACTGCTGGCAACAACCGTGACTGTTTAGTCGCTGGCTGGCGCCAATGATCAACTGCGGATCTTCTAATACGAAGAGTTGGGCGAACGACATCAGCTTCTCAACCGCTCCAAACAAAAACTGGTGTAACATTCTTGCACTGCAGGGAGCAACTTCGAGGCTGCAGCCTTGGATTTGCCATGATTCGCTGAAGTTCGGTGGAATCAGTTCTCTATGTTCGAGAAGCACCTCAAGGATTCTGATCTGAAAAGGACACCCACTTCTCTGCAGGTGAATCAAGCCACGACATCCAAATTTTCATCGTGATCGGGCGCAGTGTTCGGTCAGTTTTCGAAGCGAAACTGCGCTTACAGCACCATCAGCACCCCTCAGGCCTCCAGACTACCCCCTTTTACTTGGCATGGTCTTGGCCCTACCTTGGAGCGCAATCACGGGCTTGCCCAGGGAACGTCACCTATGCTCAGTTTCCGGAAAGTGTGGTTCGATGGGAAGGAAAGAAACACTCAAAAATGGACGAACGCCTTTCATACATCAGGAGGTGTGAAGCGCGCGTTTTGTTGATCTCGCCGATGGCGATGAGCATGTTCCACAGAGAGTCTGTCTGAGAGCGAGTCCACGGATCCATGGTGGTGTAGGGCTGCGCAGGGGTGAAAGGTTTAACCCTGACAGTGGCGGCAATACGCAGCCGTGTAGCCTATGACGTGTGCATACCGGATGCCCTGCCGGGCGACGATGAGTTTGTCAACAGTGGTGTCCACGCCCCACACCGCCGAGAGAGCAGCATGATGAGGGTTCAAGTTGTTTTGAGATTTGTTGGGTATTGGTGCTGATGTGTTTGCAATGCCAGGAGACTGGTTGTCTCATGGCTTCGGTGTGGAAGCAGAGGAAGTCGACAGAAAGGCTCCTGATGATGAGCTTGGTCGAGGTATGGATTGGGAATTGATGATGTGCTTGATCTTCGAGGGTGGACCAATTCTCCTTTGTGGACGAGGCCTACGAGAAGAAGGAAATCACGAGTTAGGTTGGCATGGGAGCGCTACGATGCAAAGATCAGTTGCCCCTTTGCGCCAAACCCTCGAAACTCGATTCGGGATGTATTGGAGGTTCAGGGACAAAACATGGAAAGGCGAGCGAGGCTCGTCCGTAAACAACTTCGTGTATGGGATCCGAATGACTCTAATGTGTATGCGCCAAGCAAGAATCCCGCGATCTCCGGAGTTCATTCATCCGGTTGCAAATCGAGCGAGGCCCTTCCTGGGTGATGCATTTGACATCAAAGACAAGTTCCTCACCATCCCCCAAAGCGAAGAGCTGCACGTTCACCAAAGCCAGGATAGCACCCAGCTTCTTCCTTATGAGAACAGTCGCGATCTGAAAAAGTCATTGCGTGTCCCGCCACAGGAAAGGTCGATGTGGGAGCAACGGTCGACACCGACGATGGAAGTATAAAGTCCAAGTTTCAGGTCCCGTCGCAAGCCCGCAGACTCACGTCGCTTCTCAAGAAGGAGCTTGCTGTGATTGAACATGGTTTCTTGACCACGGCCGCTGCTGTGAAGAAGGCCAAAGGCAACAGCAGTACTGCCGGAGCGCATGTGCTTTTCCTCCGGAGGCTCTTGGGCCGGCGGAGGCCGACTCGCGGAGTGGTTGAATGGAAGCTTGCAACGTCCCATTACTCCCGAACATGTCTGTTCAGTCAGGTACCAAACAGGTAACAAGTAAGCCGGGAGTTGATGCACAGTTTCCTCTCGCGGGAGGCCACAACTCAAATCATATTCGAGAAGTGAAGCAGTGCAAGGTACAAACCTCTAGATCCTCTAGAGAAACGAAGAAAGTCATTAGGATCATAAGAGCAGTGCTCGGGGCTTTGTTCTGCAGCCGCCTTGAGCCGTGAACAAGCATGATCTGAGATTGCAGTGTATCTCCGTCCCAAATATGTCCTTGGCAGTGCAGCTCTGATGATTTGGCTGTGTTGTCGAGCTACGCAAACCGGCATTCAAACCATAATGATGCCAAGTGATGGAAAGAGCCAAATGAAAGCAACAGGCAGTGCAACCCCAAGGAGCGATGACAGCAAGTCTTCGAGTCAAGGATTTACATGAACAAGTTGAGGACGTGACACCAGAATCCGCGCCCCTGTGATGTGGTAAACAGGTATCTGTGCCTCTGCCTGCACAAATTCATCACGGTGGCCCGAGTTGGCTTCAGCCCCCAGATTTGATAGCTATAACCGTCGTGGACGTGGAAGTCTTCGTGCTCGAGCAGTTGATAATGCTTGCGGAGTGTGTAACATGTATAACCCCGTTCGCTTGACGGTACTGGTAGCGCGACGTCGCATATTAGGTTATTAGGCACAGACGAAGGCCACACGCACATGGTGGACATAGTTCCTGGAGTTTTCACAGATGCTCTTTTGGACAATCGTGTCTGCGCGCATGTTTCCTCCAGTCTGAGTCTTGCATGTACTCTTTTGGTGCATGCTCTCACTTAACTGGTACAAGTAAGTGTTGGATTTGTGATCTAAGGCATGTGTGCCGAATGACTGCAGGCGCTTGCTAGTCAGTGGAGAATTTTTGCAGAAAGCCAACAGCACCAAAAACCAATGTCCTCTGGAGGTTGAAGGCGATGAGCTCCTGCTGCCCGCCAAGGGCCGCCGGGAAGGTCAACGCGCTGACGGTCATCACGAAGAGCAGGGTTACGGCTGCTCCCATCATGCCCATGATCACGGAACCCACTCCATCGGCGAAGTCTTTCATGCTACCCTCGAGAGCGCCTAAGTACAATGAGTTCGAGGCCACAAGCATTGTAATGCAGAAGCCGATGAAGCAATCCAGCACGTTCAGAAGCGGCACCTTCCATGGCCAAGCATTTGCCTGGATGATCAGTATGACCATAAACACGAGCATGACAGACATGACTTGGACAGGCGGATAGTCCGTCGCCAGCGCGATGGGGAGCGACATCAGTGGACCCCGTAACAGCAACAGCACTCCAAACCACCAGGAATCCAGCCGAAAGCGGAAAAGGAGGAATCTGAAGGCTTTCACATTGGCGTGCTGCCCATTCCTGCTCCATCTCGGCACCACGATCACGGCATAGGTGCAGACTGCCAGGAAGCCCATGACGCCCACCAAGAGGAGCAACAGGCCGCAGATTAGCATGACGGCGTGATCCTGCACGGTGCGTTTATTCATATGATTAAAACGCATTCCGCAGGTACGCTTCTACTGGTAGTTCTGGTCAAAGATGCCTCTGAACCAGGTTTGCACATCCGACTAACCACTGCAACAGGAGCGTGCTGGACGAGGGAACGAGCCCGCCAATGCCTAGGGCCTAGAATCTCATGCACAAGAAGAACGTGGTCCTCTGTGCCGCAAGTGATGCTGGGGTACTTCAAGAGGCTGAAGACGCCATTCGGGTGACTGAAGCAGGGATTCAAGCTTGAAGTGCTAGGCTAAGGATTAAGCGTTCTCCAGGTTATCACGGAAGTAATGTTCTTCCCGTGCCTGAAGCACATCATCGGTGCCATGGAAATGGTACTCATCGTGCTGAACGCAAGCTGTAGCAAGGCTCCAATCGTGCTTTTCGTCTTGCTGCCTTCCCAGCGGAGCCTCTTAGGGAGGAGCTTCGATGTGTAGTGGCAGCTCACGAGCCAGCACACAGCACCCGGGAAGACAAGGACCGACACGATGTAGCGAGCCGGGGCCGAACCACCTGCGACGCAGCTGAAAGCAAAGTTATCAAAGTCCAGCAGAAATACCTGAAGAAATGCATAGATGTCTTTCAAACCTTCGGGAACTCGAACGGTCATCGTCCCAATGATGCCGACGGATTGTAGCGACGAGATGGTCATGCTAAATGCACATGTCGTTGTAAATAGCACGGAGGCCTTGGCCGTTTTTTGAGCAGTCATCATGTAGTAGACCGTGACCAGGCCAGCCAACATCACTGCGACTGCGAGGATCCAGCCTAGTTGCTGCCAGGGCGTGCACTCCTCGCACTGTCCCTCAGACCTGTCCCAGTGCCTTCCGCTGGGGCAATCGGTGCAGGCCGTGTCGTTCAGTAGTCCCGTACAAGTTGCGGGTATGCCACCCGGACAGCGCGTGCCTGTAGCAGCCTCGACGCAGCGATACAGGTCCAGCGGCTCCGCCATGCTGCTGTAGAATCCGGGAAGGATGCTCGCCACAAACTGTGGGCCAAGGTTCGAGCTGCCGGACCGAAGTCCCTGGAGCGTGGCGAGCGCCGGACAGTCCAAGCCTGTCACACAAGGCATCGTGGTCTCGCTCTTAATGAACAACAAATCCCATCGTGCAAACCCTCCCGGCCTTCCCCGCACTCCATGCAGCTCAGGTTCGCGGTGCTATCCGAAGCATCAATAAAGCCCCTCGGGCAGCCACAGTCCTGAAGTGTAAAGGAGCCCAAACCTAGGGTCGTGCCACCTGAGCAAGGCTTGCAGTTGCTGGAACCTGGCTCATCCTGGTACTCACCGATTTTGCAGCGATTACACTCTTGACTGCCAGAGTTATTCTGTGACTTCCCAAGCTGGCACAGTTCGCACTGCAAAGCTGCACCCGATGCTTGGCTGCTTCCAGGTGCACAGAACTCGCACACATGGGTAATGCCTGTGGCGTCATGCAAGCGAGCTGAATATCTTCCGGACACACAAGCACGGCACTCCAGGAAGGTCGGGTCTGCACGTGTGCCAATAAAGGTATCTTGCGTCGTGTCGTAGAGGCCGAAGCCAGGGGAGCACTTTGTGCGGTCCGGCAGCCAATCCTGCCAGCTAGGGTTCGACTCTAACCAGCGACCTTGGCTGTCGACCCCTGACTCGCTCTGACCGGCTAAGTTCTAAGCATCACACCCCGAAAAAGAGAGGTGAACAGAAAGCTGCCCTCAAGTCTGTTTAACGTTGACCAGGTGACAGGCCACAGTCGCATAGGAGTCCCCGGTGTCCTGCATGTCCTTCAGCATGTTCATGACATCGTTAAGGCCCAATCGCAAGTTGCGCACGAGGTCTTCCACCGAGGGCGCTAAAGTCACCAAGTCCTGGCTGACGATCTTGGCAATTGCGGACGATGCAGCCACAGTGCGCTTGTCACCATTGGTGTAGGCACGGAAGTCATATGGAGGAAACACGATATCGACCGGATCAAGATCCAAGAACGTAGTATCTGGAACCCACCAATAAAAGAAAACATTGACCTGTCGAGGTAGTGTCGACCATGATCTTGCAACCCCGACGGCGACAGGCATGTCATAGCTAGTAACCTTTTGCATCAAATCATCCAGACCCCAGCCCGTGCCACCAGTAACGTAGGGCACGCACCGAGTCGAGTCTTCGCGGCAGGTCGGAGAAAGCCAGAAGTAGTCGTCTGGACAAATGGCAGCAAGCGTGCCATCAGGGAGCATCTCGACACCCGCATCGTCACCTGCGGCTTCCCGCCAACATGCCTATGCCCGAAACTACACAATGACACCAAGCCCCCCCTAATGCACAGCTCTACTGCGTGCCCTGCCCTTGTTCAGCACCCCACCTGTGATTTGCAGATAGTTGCGGTTTGCTTCTGTCGCCATGAAGCGAGTTTGTGCACAAGGCACGATCAAGCTACGGTTTATAGAAGCGAGGTCATCGAAGTACCTCGACGGCTGGCTCCACGACATGTTCCATCCTCGGTAGAAGTCCAGCACAGTGCCATCCTCGTGGTACGCGTGGCTCCGCACCGTTTGCCGGATGTAAAATGAAACGCTGCCATCGTAACCCATGCTGCCCACGTCCAAAGGAGCCATGGAGGCATATTGACGTTGGATGAGTTTCCACTCACTCTGATAGCCTTCCGACCATGCCTCGAGATTGATGTGGTTGTAGGTGACTGGTTGACCACATCCCCTGTCGCTGCTGTTGCTAGGCGCCTTACAGCCAAGCAGCGCGTAGAAGCCACTCAAAGTGTCAGGACCAGGACCCGTCGCCTCAGCGTGGAAGCCCATCCGTTCCTGGAGGCCAAGATGTCAAAATGAGGCCTACGTAACTTCCTGATAAATCCGAAAGCGAAGCACTGTCCTCGATGATGATCCTCAGTAGGTGGGTTGTGAGGAAGGATGCATCCCAGTCACCGATCCACATGCCGATGGGGTAGGACTCACCGTTGACATTCGTCAAGTACTTCCGCTGGCTGATGTTAATGGCCTCTGGCAGGCACGACGCGCCTGTCTGAACCGGGAAGAGAACGGCCAAGATCACCAACCATGCCATGCTTGCGGACATCGGCTTTCGAGACGATCCGGGGCATGAGCCTGAAAATCCTCCGTGAAGTAGAATGGGTGCTTATCTCACTTTGCATCACTCACTGCTCTGACGCTGAAAATCATCTTTTCATGTAATTGCTTTGTTTAGACTCAATCGTTTCGGCAACGGGCATGTGCATTGAGTCCTGAAAGCTGCGAACCCGTTTGAGCCCATGGAACACGTGTTTCTGAGTCTTTGCGCAGAAGCTGCCTCCGTGAACTATGGTCCAGATGCGCTCAAGACCCGAACTTTTCTGGATTCTTGAAGCCCGTGAGCTCGTTGAAAAAAGCTTCCCGGGATTTGTATTAAATAACATGGGTAAGACTGTGTTTTTATATTGTTTCATCTGCGCTTTTCGGTTCTCCGCGGTTTGGTCTTTATGAGCCCACTGCATTGTGTATGGAGAAGCATTAAAGCACGCAGCAAGCAATCCTGCCATGGACGGTTTTCTTTTTCTGAACAAACATGAAAACTCGATGACATCAACGATTTTCTGAAACGGAAACCGCCGGCGGGAGAAAAAAAATAAACACTGCTTACGTACACTAGTCTTCCGCCCTCACAACATAGCATTTCAAAGGTTCTCCTTCCCATTCTGGATGGGCTTGCACTGCCCTAACACTCAGAAAGAATTCATTCTAGCGTGTTGGATCTGTAAACTTTTCGAAAATGCTCATGTAGCAGAACCACTGTTGCAGGTCCAAAAATTGCACTTTTCCTAAAAGGGCTGCTCTTTTTTCGACCCCGAAA